GCACGCGGGGACAGCGGGTCGGGGAGGCCCCCGGGTTTCCCCTGCAGACGCGGAGGCGGGCCCTGCCGAGCTGCCCCGGGGCCCCTGGCACCGCCACCCTGGGGGCCTTTGCATCCGAATCACAGATCGGCGCGGGCTGCTTTTTCGCTTGTCAGAGGCGGGCTGCGCGGAGCAGGGTTGCGGGGTGGGGGGCATGATCTAGCACCCCGAGCCCGGCCTTCATGGGCCGCTCCAGGAGGAGTGGGCAGGGGCAGGGCGCTGACCTCGGGGGTGACTGCACGGCCCGCGCTGTCCCCGGGACACGGGGCGGTGGCCTGCCGCCTGCCCACGCTGCTCAGCGCCTCCGGGTCCTTCTGGTGCTCCGGGCAGGCAGCTCGCTGCTCCGTCAGCTCCTGCCGGAGGGACTCTGCGGGAAGAGCGCAGAAGGTCACGGTCGAGGTCAAGGCTGTGGTCTGTCCTGCAGAGACGGACGAGGCACTGCGGTGGGCAGAAGGCTCTGCCTTGGGTTCCCCAAACTTACTCCAAGATGACGGAAATACCCGCTGATTGAGCATTCCGTGTGCTAAACCCTGTGAAAGGTGTTCTCAACTGGGTGTGGTGGCACATGCCTATCTTTTCAGTGCTCTGGGAGGCTGAGGCAGGAGGATCGTAAGTTTGAGCCCAGCCTGGGGAATGTATGTCTCAAAATAATAAATAAAGAAGGGCTGGGGATGGGGCTCAGTGTGAAGGCCACCCGCTACCACTAAGAGAAGTGTTCTCATTTACGCCTCACACCACACAGCCATTTTCTGTGGTCCTCCAGCCCTCACTGTCGGCTGCCCTCAGAGTGGGGCTCAGAGAGGGTCAGGCGCCCGTGGCCGCATGGCTCTCCGATGGTGCTGGGGCCTCAGCCTTTGTATGGATTCCCCTCACCGTCCGCTGCCCGGCCACTGCTAGCGGCAGAACGGAGGCAGGGAAGGGTGGGCCGGCGGGAGGTCCTCACACTGAGTCGGGAAACCGAGGGGAGAGGCGGGACCCGGTGACCTGGGCTTCTCTTCCAGGGTCAGGGCTCTCGAGGCGGAAATCTTATATTTATGTCAATGATCTTTTGGCGGGAAGAGGGTGCTGGGATTGAACCCGGGGCCTTGTGCAGATGAGGGACTGCCAAAACCCCGAGCACATCCACACCAGCCTGTGTGGACTCCTAAGGAGACACAGCCCTTCACATTCCTGCTGTGTGGACTTGGGGCAGGAGGCAGACAGTGTACCACCAAGAGGATGCAGGCCGGGAGCACAGCACTCCCGGGAACCCTGCTTGCAGCCGTACCGGGCAAAGCTTCCAGCGTCTTTATTCAGCAGACGGCCGGAGGGCACACAGAGCAGTCAAGCAACTTGCCCAGGGTCACACAGTGAGAGGTGAGTGGTGGAGACCCGCTTCAAAGCCAGGCAGTTTGGCTCCGGAGATCTTAGGTCTCTGTTAATTTTCGGGATGGTTTTCTGGGGGGTGGGGCAAGGTTGCATGCTGTAGCGAGGGCACCTAGAACTCCCTGTGTAGCTCACACTGGCCTCAAACTGGTGGTCGTCCTGCCTCAGCCTCTCAAGTGTACTTCCAGGATGCTGTGTGTGCGAGCGGTTTTTCGATATGGAGAAGGAAGTGGGGCTGCATTTCATGCTGGGATGAGGGGCGGCAGGCAGAGGAAGAGGAAGGGGAGAGGCCTGAGCTCCCCCAACCTCTAGATATCTTCAGAATGAGCCGGGCCTGGTGTTGCACACCTATAATCCCAGCCCTCAGGAGGCTGAGGCAGGAGAATCGTTGGGAGTTCCAGACCAGCCTGGGCTACAAAGTGAGCTCAAGGCCAGCCTGAACTGCATAGCAAGACCCTGTCTCAAAAAGACAAAAAAAAAAAGAAAAAAAGAAATCTTCAGAATGGAAATGAGACGCTGAGGCTGCCTAGACACTCCTGCGCAGGACCAGAGTCAGCGTCACGGTCAGTAAGGACAGGAGTGTCCTTGTGCCCTGGGCCAGTGGAGTGCGACACATCACTCAACCCATTCCGCAGCCCTGGGAGGTGGGGACCGCAGCACCGTCACCCTGGCCCATGTCACTCAGGCCCCTGGGCCCTGCATGCACCCTCTGTGCGGGTGGGCGGGTACCTAGCAGCTGCACCTGCTGCGCCTGCATCCTCTCCCGCTCCTCCTGCAGCTCCTGCCTGGCCTTTTCCTCCAGGGCCTGGAGCTCCAGCCGGTGTACCTGGTGTTGGGTCGGGAAGCTGTGGCTGGATTCCCTCTTCATGCACTCCTCTGTGGCCTGTAGGTAGAAGCAGGAAGAAGTAAGTGTGATGTGGAGAGCTTACCAAGCTACGTGGGATGCTCCCGCAATTGCCTGACCATAGCAGCCATTTTGTACCATGTGGACTCACTTCTTCCCACAGCTGGCTGAACCACAGTGGACACTTGTTTCAAGGTGGACCAATCAGAATTCCTTCACTGGGAATTCAGTGTCAGGAGGTGCAGGAGAGAAGGAGCAAGAGGGACACCCAGACGGTGCGACTGCGGATTTAACACTCAGGAGCACTGCAGTGGGCATCTGACGTCTTCCCCAGGATGAGCGCTTGGAGGCCCCTGACTGCTGGTTTCTGTTGATGCTGTGTGTGAATCCCTGGGAACTGCCCATGTCACCTTTCCTCGCAAAAATCACGCTTTGCAGATGCAATTCAGTTAAAGATCTCGGGATGGGAGATTGGTGGAATAACCTGGGAAGGTCTCAGTCACAGGATAAGAGAGGCGCTGGACAGGAGGGGCGTCGGGGAAGAGCTGATGGTGGAGGGAGGAGAAGGAGGGAGACGGGTTGGAAGCCGCTGCGTGGTGGCTTTGGCGTGCAGACACAGCGGCGGCAGGAGGCAGGCGCTTCTGCGATCTGACAAGGTGAGCCGCTGGCTCTCCCGAGTGAGCACCAGACAGAGCCACCTCGGAAACCTCCCAGCGGCTTCTGCTCGGGGGGCCTCGGGGAGACACGGAGGGAAAGCTTCCCCAGAGCGGGGCAGGGGAGCCAGGCCAGGAGGGGGACAGGCTGGGGTGAACCGCGCCTGGCCTCCTGCTGGGTCAACCCTTTCCTGTGTGTGTAGGAGGAGGCAGCTTGCTGCCAAGCTCACTTAGTTTTACACAGACTCACTCTGGACGCTGGACCCAAATGCGACTTGTTTTCAATAGGAAAATAAAATGTCAAAGCTGTTCCTGGAGTTATTTCTATTTGTTTTGGTTTATTTTTGTCTTTTCTTCCGGTACCAGGAGTCGAACTCACGACCTTGCGCTTGCCAGGCAGGGGCTGTGCCGCTGAGCTAAATCCCCAGCCCCGCCTGGAATTATTTCTAAACAACTGCTCTGTGGTGAGAATGCAACAGAAATGGGTGCGCGGATCAGGAGGGGCGCTACCCTTTTAAGGCTCTGATATTTTCAGCGCTGGAGCAGGACCGTATTTCCTAGATGTAAATACCACTACTACACCCAGAATGCTGCACGTACACTGTCCCTTCTTTCCAGAGACCACCCCTTTACCAGAGCGGTGCACACAAAATAGCAAAGTGAGCTGTTTCGTGGCGAACTGGGGGGCTGGGTGGGGGCTGTTGCCCTCGAGTTCCGGGGCAGAGGGGCGGGGGGCGCGAATGCTGCGGGTGCGCGTTCTGGGGCGGAGGGCCGAGTGCCGGGCAGAGACCAGCATCAGCGCAGCGCCCCCGGCCCTGTGGAGGGTTTTGCGGGGGAGCTGCTCTTCCCACCTTGGTGCTGCCCTCCTTGCTTTCAGTGGCGGGCTGAGCTTGAGCCCCAGCACCATCCATTGAAGACAAGGCCAAGGTCAGGGACACAATTATTCTTGTGCCCTCAAGGGCGCTGCAGTGCAAGAAATCCACTTCCCCGCTTTTCCCTGTGCTAGCTGTGTGGGCTTCAGCGAGTCACTGGCTGTCTGGGCCTCTTTTCTCGTGTGGGAAAGGGAGACGAGGATATGATCTTGTGTGGTGAGTGTGGGGCTGGAAATACGGACCAGAGGCGCCCCGAGGTGCCCAGCTTTGGGCGGCGCTGGCCGGGCGTCGCCTACCTTGAGCACCTGGGCTCCGGCCTTCTCGCGCTGCGCCCGGGCCGCCTGGCCCTGCTGCAGACCTTCCTGGAGCTCGCGCCGCCCCTGGGGCTGCTCGCGCTCCTGCAGGTCAGCGGTGGGCGCTGGCGCCCTGCTCCCCGGCCCTCTGCAGCTGTGACACCTGCTGGACCGGCGCAGAGGCCGCAAGCTGCAGGCTCCCAGGCACGGGGAGGCCAGAGGGCTCCCCAGCTGGACCCCCGAGTACGGCAAACGGCAAAGGAGGGGAAGAAGGGCCTAGACAGCCACAGGGGCCTGAGAATCCCGGGAGGGCGCATGGCTTCACCCCCTCGGTGTCGCGCTCAAATCTGGCTTCCTGGTGTCCTGAAGGTCTGTCTGTGCCACACCTGCTCCTCTTCCCCAAGGCCTTGTCCCCGCGGCCCTGCCCTGAAGCCCTGACCGCCTTCCAATGGACCGCGTGGCTCACTTAGGTCCGGTAGTTACTCTGCTCCCGCCTCTGCTAAAATACAGAACACACCCCCTCCGCCGGCGGGGGACCCTGCCAGGAGCCCCTGGGCACCACATGAACTGGGGAACAGTTTGCATACAACCTACATGCATTCTCTGCTTTAGTGATTACACCTAATGCAATGCAGATGCTAGCAACTTTCTCCCCGCAGGGATTTCCCATCTGTAGGTGGTATATCCAAAGATGCAGAAGCCAAGGATACCCAGTGCTAGCTGCATACTGTCTGTTCCCATCTCTTTGGCGTGCGTGTACACACACATACACACACACACACACACACACGTACACACACATACACACACACACACACACGTACACACACATACACGTACACACGCACATAGTCCTTGCATATGAAATACAAGGAATTGTATCTGGCCTCTTTGCTGCTGTAACATCAGTGGCTCATGGCGGTGCTCAGTAGCACAGCAGGATTCGAACAAAGAAACAAACCCAAGAATCCCACCTTGCCCTGGACCCTTGATGCCCTCCCGCAGCTGAGCTCTGCACAGAGGGGTGGGGATCTCTCTCCAGGCAAGGCACACTCCCCCAGGCTCGTCTTTCTACCTGGGCTTGCAGTCGGGCCTTCTGGCTTTGCCAGTCCTCCTGTAGACACTGGATCTTGGGCGCCTTCTCTGTCAGAGAGCCCAGCGGTGGTGGTGGGTCACTTTCCTCCTTGAGAGGCACTGCAGGGCTTTGAAGATAAAGAGGTCACAGTCACCAAAGATTCTAGGGCTAGGAAGACCACCACCACCCTGGTGACATCTCAGCCACTCTGCAGGGGAGGAGGGTGCTCCAGTGTGGTTGGGCTGAGGTGCACCTTATTGGTCTTTCCAAAATCAACCTGACACATACATTCAGGTAATACTGCACAGGGCTCCACAGCAACTACTGGGTACTTATTTTAGTGGGTGCTTAAGAAAGATGGCTGAATGTTGTCTGTGCTATTTTATTGAAGCAGCCCAGCGGACTAAAACGCCGACAGCATATTATTCTCTGTCCACAGAAGTCAGCTTTGGTCCCGTGACCTGCTCCGGTTGTGGAATGTGGGTGTTAACGAGAGAGCAGTTCTGAATGTAGCGAGCTGTCAGAGGCGTGGCGCATTCCCACCAGTTCTTCTGAGCTCCTTCCCTGTATGACAACAACATGCCCCAGGTAGGGGCTGATCCCCCCAGCCAGCGTCCCGGAGTGAGAAGGCACATGGACCAAACCTGGGCTCTAGTTTGTGGCAGAGCAGTAACATCTGACCTTCGGCCAGGAGCCAAGCTGAGCGTAAGGCAGCTCCTCCAGGAGCTGAAAATCACTAATATTTGAAGAATGTTTGTTATAGCAGCAACACTCACTCATACAGGTGATATAGATGGAGCCTTTCGCTGTGTGGCAAAGCTCCCATATGCCCTCCCAACTGGAGAACTAAAGGTTTTGGACCAGTCCAGAATCTTGGGCTGGATTTTTTTATGTTCTTTTTTTATTTTAAAGAGAATAAAAAGTAAACATTAAAAATGGTACAGAATTTCAAAACAAGATGCTAGGAAATCAACCGCGGTTGTTATATTGCATATTGTTATCTTCAAAGTAGCTGTTCAGATTACTAGATGGAGGCATGTGTAGTGGTTGATGAGAAGGGAAGAAGCCTAACTAAGTCAGCTCAGCAACTCTATACCCTAGGGCAGATTATCACCTGGATGATATGAAAGGAAAATGAGGAAGGACAGAGGGGCTTTCGTTCTTTACAGGAGCTCCAGTCATCGCCTTCAGCTTGGATGTCATCTCCTGGCTTCTTCTCAGGAGCTCCAGTCGTCACCTTCAGCTTGGACGTCGTCTCCTGGCTTCTATTTGGTTTTTTTTTCCAGTACCAGGAATCGAACTCACAACGTCCTGCCTGCTAGGCAGGCGCTGTGCCTGCTGAGCTAAATCCCCAGCCCCTATCTCCTGGCTTCTAGTGCAGACTCTTTGGCTTCTGCCTTGGATCCTTCAGCCTTCCGGTATAGACTCACCAGCCTTCTGTCACAGACCCATCAGCCTCCTGATATGGTCTTGCACAGACGCTACAGTGAACTCCAGAACCTGGGCTGAATCCTTCGGTCTCCAGTGTGCAGACACACTCTGCATGCTTCCTCATCCAACTCTCTGGTGGACCACTGTAAGCCAGTCTTGTAATTTGTTATACCTTTGTGTATCTTGTGTACATCTGTTTCTCTAGTAAAACCCTGACTGATACAACATGCCAAACTGATCCAAAAAATTAAGCATGAACTGGTCCTTTCAGTAAACCAATAGAAAGTAGTAGCGCAATTGGGCTGGTTATTAACCTCTTTAAGCTTCAGATTCTTAAACTATCAAATGAGCTCCTTGGGTTGGGATAACAGTTACATGTTTATTCCCAGCCCACAGCTGTGCAGTACATATGTCTGTTTCCTCCCTAAGCATAATGCGAAAGGCAGTGATAAGTATTTGAAGAATGAATGAATGAATGAATGAATGAATGAATGAGTGAATGAATGCAGCCTTCAAAACCTGAGCCTTCATGCATCAGAGTCCGGGAAAGGCTGCCCGCTGCTTCTACCTTTCTCCTTCGTCACTGCTGGCTCCTTCTTCAGCTGCTAACTTGTCTTCACAGTATTCACTCGGCAGTGTCTGACAAGGCTCCTTCAGCTTGGAGCACGGATCCTAAAGCAAGAATAATGGCACGGTGAGACCCAGGACAGTTCCCTCATCCTACCTGGCTCCTTCAAACTGGAGAGCAGAGGAGGTGCTCCCCCGGGCTGCAGGCTGGGGTGACGAGGCCTGTGAGGATGAAGTGCTTGGTTTGAGACCAGTGTCAGCTCTTAGCCTTGTATTCTGATTTTGGGTCTGCAAAGCAATCCTCACGGCTGGTGAAAATAAAACCTGGAAAGATTAAGCAACTTGCCCAGGGCCCCAGCATCCGTGAGGAGTAGATCTGGGCTATGCAGTCAAGCGGTCTTACACTGGGGTTCGAACTCAGCTGCTTTGTGATATGGTCCTGTGTGAGACCTGCAGAAAGTGGTCCTGCGTGAGCCTGACATGTCATGGGGCTTGGGTGAGGGTTAGAGATCGGCACTGGGACACGGCCAGTGACAAGTGTGAGCGACTGTGCAGAGGACGATGATGATGATGATGGTGATACCACTTTATAGGCTGCACCGTGCGCCGTCTCCTTACACGACACCGGAAAGCGTGGAACTTGCCCAGTGACCAGCAGCATTGAGAAATGGGGTATGGGAAGAGAATACGCAAATGATTAAGTAACAATCCAACGGTGTGTGCTCATATCATCATTGTCTCCTTTCCACGGAGCCATAAAGGTGAAAAAGATTTTTTATTTTGATTTTTCTACGTGTCATGGTAACCAACGTCCACAGAAAACAGCACGGTAAGACAAGCTGGACACAGATTTGCTCATCGTCAGATGTTAAAGACTAACAGCAAGCTGGGGTTTTCGTAACTACTTGCACGGCTTTGAGCCCGGGTCTTGACTTTTCTGGAATAATTCACTGAGTGTAAACAAAGAGGTCGCTTATATCTTTGGTTTCAGACTGTGCTCCTGGGGCCCTGGGAGGGTATCCAGGCCCTGGGGTGGGAAGGGTCAGGGCTGAAATGCAAGGGGTATGCCTGG